GTGCCCAGTCTCTAGCGCCGTATAACCGACGGCTGCCACTGCTCGATTAAGACACGATTTGCAATCGAAAGGGGAAAATCTGCCCCTTCGCAATGATTTCTGATGTCCATTTTTATTCCATTGATGTCGTCGCTAACTCTCCTCAATGTGATTCTTAAAGGGGCATATTCCGAAGAGAATGCACTGCTAAAGGGTATCAACAGTCACCCAAACCAAGTAAGACCTTCCGAAGGACAACCAATCACTCCAATTTGCTGCCTCCCCGGATACCCCGGAGTGGCTTTCCAAAAATATAGGTTTTGACTCGACCATAAATGGTAGGTCAGAAGCCCGTAGTACCTTTTGATACTGGGTGTAAACCAAAGCTACCATGCCGATGCATTGCCCAGTCTCCCCGAGCGCCGTATAACCGACGGCTGCCACTGTCGCTAAGCTCTTCTCATGGTGGATTCTGAAGGGGCATATTCCGAAGAGAATGCACTGCTAAAGGGTATCAACAGTCACCCAAACCAAGTAAGACCTTCCGAAGGACAACCAATCACTCCAATTTGCTGCCTCCCCGGATACCCCGGAGTGGCTTTCCAAAAATATAGGTTTTGACTCGACCATAAATGGTAGGTCAGAAGCCCGTAGTACCTTTTGATACTGGGTGTAAACCAAAGCTACCATGCCGATGCATTGCCCAGTCTCCCCGAGCGCCGTATAACCGACGGCTGCCACTGCTCGATTAAGACACGATTTGCAATCGAAGGGGGAAATCTGCCCCTTCGCAATGATTCTGATGTCATTTTTATTCCATTGATGTCGTCGCTAAGCTCTCCTCATGGTGGATTCTGAAGGGGCATATTCCGAAGAGAATGCACTGCTAAAGGGTATCAACAGTCACCCAAACCAAGTAAGACCTTCCGAAGGACAACCAATCACGTCTGAGCAGTGCGAGGACGCAATTTGCTGGCCGTCCCCGGATACCCCGTAGTGGCTTTCCCAAACAATAAAGGTTTTGATGACCGTCGTAAAGTAAGGATTAATTGTAAGGACGTGACGGTATTTCCCATACGAACGGTTCCTCTTGTGAGTGCTGATGTGGACATGTCAATCAGCACATTTACGCTTGCATGAGCCGCCCGCTAAATTATAAGCGCTCACAGTCTCATTTATGCACAGTGGCAGGACAAAAAATATTCGAGCCGGCTTCTCAAGACGGTCCCGCTTCATCTGCGTCCGAATCCTCTTGCAGCGGTAAATGAAGAGAAATGGTGCGCCACTTTTGAGACCGTGAGCATATATATTGTCTTTTATCCCCCCATTTTAGTTTTATTTCATCACCTGTAGCAGTACCGCTGTTTAAGAACCAAATCTTTTACATGAACACGTGAAAGAGGCCGGCCAAAAAAATTTATTGGCATAAAAAACTCAAAAGACTGCAAAAGAAATCCAAAAGTTCTTGACTCTGAGTCAACACTAGAAGTCGCACTTTTGCAAGGAGCGGCGGAGGCTATATTGGAGGCAGAAGACCAGATCGCTGAGGAAGGTGCTAGGCACCGAAATATTCGAAGGAAGTATTAGAAACAAAAATTTTTGCAAGAACTTTTGGATTCTTTTGAGTCTTTTGAGTTTTTTGCAATAAATTTTTTGGCGCCTCTTTCACGTGTTTCATGTTCAGATTACAATGAGGCTCCGGGACAGCACCATATTACACCCCAAATCCTTTGTCCATTGCAAAGGTTTGTGTAAATTCGCCTCTGCACTCCTTCTATCAATGAAATAGTTATATTTAGAATTACGGACCGTCAACGTGTGAAACCATCTGTGTTCTCACTGTTTTGGAGTGCGTGGCTTGGAAAGAGGCGATAATCGGCATAGGAACGGGTGATTCGCTACTCATCACTTCTTCTCAGAAGTAGAACGAATTATTTTTTCGGAATGATGTTCCTGCACACGTGAAATGAAGGTCAAGAGGCCATTTGAAATGAAAATGTATACCGGCTGAAGGTCTTTCGACGCAAAATTCGACAGCCGCCTGCTGCGGACCCACTCCGGAAGAAGTTATCGGAGCTTTGTAGTGGAAAAGATATACTACGTATTGGCGGCGTAATGCAACATGACCGTGGGAGCACGGCGCAGCGTGGGTAACGTCGTAGGGCTCACGGATGCGCGGTCGAGGGTTTGGATCCTTGATGCGTGTGCCCTTTTGCATTTTTTCGAAAGTGGTCCCTGTGCACTTCAAAGCTATTTTGCATAACACTTGTCCGTGATAATGTCGTGACGTCGTAATGATTCTGAACTGATGGAGCAATTGGAACGATCGTCAATGAGAGATCACCCGTCGGCTGAAAAGATTGTATACAAGACGAAAACTTCCGGCGTCGAAAACACTTTGGGATAGACATATTCAAATGTGACTGTGCAATGAGCTCTTGCCATCCCGATCTCAGCAGCATGATCCCAGTCAACGCCTTTCACATGAAAGCATTTCCCACTGTACTCATCTTCGTGCACAACTGTGCGTTCGGATTCGTTTTCCAGTCATGTCGTTTGGAGAATAAAGTCATTTGAAAGCAAAATCTTCTTTTGGAATGCACTTTTGTTGTGTATGCTTTTCAAATCAAAGAAAGAAGAAGACAACAGCCAGAAAGTGGGCACTATTGAACTACCCCTACCCACTACCCCAAATAACTCAAAAAATTTTTTCGCAGAAACCTTACCTATAGAACTGGTAATTCAATGACGCTTGATCAGATAATACAACATCCGTTTTCGACCGCTGTGCGTCAATTGGCGCCATTATGCGCCAACGGCGCACCAACCATTTTTTTCACCACATAAGTCCGATGAAAACGCTGCCACGTGGGGTTAATTAGGTCTTGATTACGAATCCAGCTTATTTTTGGCGGCTGGCGCCATTTGGTGCCATTACGAGCCAATTCCGGCGCTAATATTGGTGCATGATGACGCCAGCGCTTGAAACCAGTGTGATATTCGTAATCAGGACCTCAATTGACCCCCATATGCAAGTTTTCATCAACTTTGGTGAAAAAAGTGGTGGGCGCCAAATTGGCGCATAATGGCGCCAAATGAACGCCAGCGGTCGAAACGGATGTTGTATTCGTGATCAGCGCGTTCACTTTCACCTATAGGCAGCGAAAAAAAATTATTTGAGTTCTGGGCAGGAATAGTTCAATAGTGCCCAGAAGGTGATCTCTATGGAATGGTTCGCAGTGGCTCCATCAGTTCAGAATCATTACGTCACGACATTATCACGGACAAGTGTTATGCAAATAGCTTTGAAGTGCACAGGACCACTTTCGAAAAAATGCAAAACGGCACATCCCATCAAGGATTCAAACCTCAACACCGCTCATGCCGTGAGCGCCTAGACGTACCCCACACGGCCATGCTCCCACGATCGTGTCAGCCTTACGCCGCCAATACGTAGTGTATTTTCCCCACTACAAAGCTCCGTAACTTCTTTCTGGGAGGGTCCGCAGCAGATATGGAAGACGATTTCGTAATTCCCGTTCGAAGACCTTCCAGCCGGTATACATTTCAGTTTCAACATGGCCAACTTCGACGCTACCACCTTTCCATTGTAGGCCGAGGAGTTCTAGTGACTACAGACACAGGTAACTAAACCACCATGTCTACGGCCTTCCTTTGAGGCCGGGATTACTCTCAGAGGACATGACTCTACCAAAATGGTCCACAGGCAAGATCCTATTCAGCGCAGAGAACATTTCTGTGTGATGCACACTCGTTCCGGCCTGCAGTTGGATTCGTGTGGACACAACGAAATAGCTGCCAATCACCTACCCTGCAGACTCGAACCTATTACTGATCTTAACCGTCACTAGAAATCAGCACCTTTCTCTTCTCCCCCTCCCCCTGTACAAGAACAACCCCGTCGGAAGTTACTTGACAGGCTCATGACACTGATCCAGGTGGTTCGAGCCGTCGAACACCAGAACAGCGTCTTCCGATTATTCTCCACTAAAGTCTATTGTTCGCACTTTGCGCGACATTACTATTGCATTCGTGGAAAGAAAGGGATTCCATTACTAGGCCGAATTCGGCGGCTGATCACAGACACCCAGCGACGGCATTGACTATCCAGCGCGATTTTTGCTGACAGGTTCCCGCCCGAGTGAAAAATGGGAAAGTATTCGAAACAGCAGCTGTGTCCACTCGCTTCGCCAGTTCTCCCGATCGATACCTATGTAACCCTTTGCGAGGGCAGCAGATTCCCCCGCACGGTTGCTACCTCTCTCGCTTCGAATGAGCTCCCTTCGACGATTCCACACGGTCGCGGTTTGTGAACAATGCCTTGGACATTCATTCGCATCCACCTGATAACCCATATGGGTGGAATCGTGCAGTACCCCGGAATATTGACCCCGATAATAACCAAAGTATTCCTTTTTGTCAAGAGGCGTCCTGGTCCATTGTCGCAATACCACAAGTGGCGCTGGTCGATTTACACACTGAGTAGGCTGGCGCGTGACGTTACACACCCGGAGAGTTGTGAGTCCGCGCACATGCGTCGCTCCTGAACGTGCAGCCCAGCCGCTGCGCATTCTTTTGGAATAATAACATATATATTTTTGAAATATACTCTGGAATATAGAAATATATTGGAATATCTTTGGTCACGTTTTGACCATGTATTGTCAGCAATAAGAAAAGAATGCCTCCATACTTTGCCGCGGCGTCCATCTCCAGCTTCCACCCGCGGCCAACAGCGTTTCGAGCGTCCGTCAGCGTCAGCGACTGGGAAAGTGTATGTATCGAATCTAGCGAACGGCAGCCTCTACCAGCGACCATGAATAGATAGTATGGGAAGGAGGTGCACCGACTGTCTGAGTGTAGGAAGTGGACTGGAGCGCAGTGACTGGACAGCTTAGGCGCCGTGACATTGTGGCATGTCCAACGGACTCCCTATTGGACGCTGAATTAGCGCGTGGGAGGGCTGCGCTGAGACGCTGCTGTTCGCCTAATCGTTGTCAATACTTTTCCAGTCCTGAGACGCTGATAGACGTTGGTGAACGCTGGTAAACGCCGCCGTTCGCTGGATCGTTGAAAATACTTTCCCACTTCTGCTTTGTGGCAGGGCCACTGACGCTAATGGTCGCTCGTGGACGCTGCCGCAAAGTATGAACGCAGACTATGCAGATGACGCTGGTCTTGATAGAAATATTCTTATTCGCATCCCACACCAGGTAGATTGGACCCCCTCAACTTTAGAATATAGAGTGTTTACGGCCTTGTTCACTTCGGACTGATGGGGCGTGTCAGTGAGGCCGAGTATGGCGCGCAACGATTGATACAAATGATACAGTCTGGTCGCTTCCCGAAAGAGAAAGATAAATAGGGAGAAACGTGCTGGCGCCTTCCAAATCCACCCTCCCCTCCTGATACGCCCCATCATCCGCACTGAACAAGACTGTATTCATTGCATTGAGCTTCAAAATTACAACAAAATCGCTTCACCTTTATTCGAGTACGAATAAGGTCATCCATATGGAATAGTAAGAAACGAATTTTGAGAAGTTTTTGCATGTCGCACATTTCCATACAATAAAAACGAATACGATGTGTATTCTGCGATAATGGGCGTTACTGTACATTAAATGGCTCAGAAGAATTTATACTTCTTCACCCATTGAAGAACATTAAATTATAGGTAACGATGCATCAGGAGAGGGTGATACTTCGTCTGGAAATAGTCCAAAATATAACAACTAAATAGTTCCTCAAATGCTTGGAGCAAACCTAATATACCAGGGTAAGAAACCGTATATTACAGTACATGCGGCCGTACAACTACAAATTCCATACATTCCGCGCCAGTCGCATTGGCGGTGTACATGTGCGCCTTCTTTCCTCGCTGACTCTCCATTTTTAGAATGACAAGGAAGAAATGTGTACCAATGAGGAAAACGCAGTGGTTCGAGTAACTCCACCCATGCAATCGGTGCGGTATCTTTGAGTGCTTGGATTGTCGCGAATTCTACCAGAAAAGGGATGCTAATTTCCAACAACCCTTCACTGCTTCTGTAGCATCACAGCCGGCGTCATTTTAGCCTCAAGACTCTCGTCCTTGTAGGTGGCTCCAAAGATGGTTACTCCTGCTACCAATGCTGTAACGGTAAAGAACTGAGCCAAAATTCTGTATCGCATGTACTTTTGTGCGCCCATTTTGTCGCCTTTGAAGGAAGACCTGAAAGCGGGAAAATTGAGTCAACAGAGGGCTAGAAAGGGAATAGAGACTTACCTGAACATGCCAAGTAAGGCGAGAGTGGTGAGACCCATACCCAGGACAACTCCTGGATTGCTGGTCACTTGGGAGAGAACACCGTTTTTCTTCTTACCTCCGATGTCTTTTCCACCGCTGAAGCCAATGTCGGTGGGGATGGCAGGGATCTAGAAAATGGAAAGTTCGAAGAATTCATCTACTTTGAGAACTCATCTACAGCAAAGAACAGTGATCCCTAGCGCTCACTTACTCTTTCGACGAGCGCCTAAAAGTTGGTCTGATTAAATTCTCAATGAAATATTCGAAGTACACTGAATTAAATCACTTTTTTTGGAATATAGAGATTGAAACTTTGAAATCTCCACACCAAGCTGGAGGTCGCCGTTCCTCTTGCGGCTCCATCAGAAAGCCTCATTGGAATCGTATCTACAGTCAAGGGCGATTCGCCGCTCAACATAAGGGACATCATTGCGGTGTGGAGAATATTTGCCAAATGTGTCCCCCTTCCTTGCAGGCAGTTGGCACGATGGTTCCCTACTTAGCCTAAAATGCTAGTAGGGCGCTGTATAGTGGGGAAATGGCGAAAGAACGGAGTGAAACGGTCAAAATCCCGCGAAGGATTTTCAAGTCACTGTTCTCAGGGGAGACGGTAAGGAGGATCGTAATTTGCCGCACCGCCACGCGCGGCGATGGGCGCGGCGTTTTCATAACTCGTTTTAACCTGTCGCAATTGAAGCACCGATCTCAGTGTAGACCCCGGTCATCGTAGACACTGCATTAACCATCGTCTGTTGCGGGCGGGACGTCGCACGCGACGCCCAGCAGCGCGGCAAATTACGATCCTCTTGTCACATACACCTGTTCTCAGTGACTTGAAAATCGATTTCGGACGAGTTTCACGTAGGCATCTTATCAATCACCGCTACCGAAGATACGGCTGCATATGTGTACCCATGTATGCATGCAGCATCACGGCCGCTTCATACCAATCCCTTCGCTTCATAATTTGCTTAGCAAATGAATGAATACGAGCGTCAGGAACGGTCGTCCATTTGTGGGCGGGCGGGCGTCGGGCGTTTGGGACGTAAAGTTGTGGCTTGATAGGGCCCTTATAAGGGCACCTTCCTCGGGGAAACCGCTATGCAGCGCCTGCCCAGGGTCGCGGAATTCCATCCTGCCAGGAGTATTGATCCTAGTCGTCTTGAGGGATTTATCGTGCCAACTGTTTTTAAAAAAAACCTCTCTTGGGCGACTCTCTTCCCACAACCACCTCCCAGATCTTTCTAGAAATCTTACCAAATTGTTCCAGATAACTTTATCAAATTTTTCAAAAATAGGCACCGTCAAACTATACACAGGTTTGCATTAGTATGCCTAGAACATACCACCCTTTCTACCCTCTCCCTTTAGAACATACCGCTGCGATTCTACAACGCTTGATGCGCACTCGCCCAACTATAAAAAAATCATCGTTTAGTATAAATAACTGTCAATTGATTCTAAGGCGGCCAGAGTAATGCCTGCGTGAACAGCTCGGATACTCTTTCAGGGCGTTTGACAGCGGTCCCGCACTTTGCGTTGACCGGCCACTACTTAATGCGCTCCACTCCTATAGATTCAGTACGTGCCGCAGATTGGTATCGAACTCGACGTTTGTCTTGTTTTTCGAGAGATCATGGGTAGCTAGGAGATGTATTACATTGTCTAAGCACATAGTTCTGTAGTCGATCGACAGCCGGGCCGCGGTGTTTTCGGAGATAGAAGAAAAGCAAGGTGCCGAAGCTACCACTCCTTATCCCAAGACAAGTAGGGCGTGACTTCGAGCATGCAACAGAATGGTTACTCTGATGATCCAGTTTCGAGTCAAAATATCATCGCTTGCTCTGTATTGGAAGAGACAGACCACAATCATGTCAAAAAGGAAATTGCTCCCCAGAAGCACGACCACTGCCACGTTGAGTTGAAGTAGGCGGCCACGCCTACCCCATCTTAGGGATTTCGAGTGTACGTAATGGCAGCGCACACCCCCTGTTATCTGATACCCTCTCAAAACGCTTGTGGCCGGCTCTAATGGATTTCCGTCTGCTGCTGCGTTTGCATCTACAGTACTCGACGCTTACCCTTAGCCGCATTACAGTCGCTTGCGAAGTTCCCCTGAACGCTGGCCTCAACGACTATGTGGTTACTGAGTGGCAGGAAGCCGACGGTATAGTGCAGCTAAGCCGACGGTATAGTGCGCTAGTGAGAAAGAGAAATGAGAAGCCGGACTCCGCACATACGACCAGCTTTTGAGGATATCCTTTGCAGTACATGGCGGGTTTTTGCAATCTGACGAACAATCATTATCCAAAACTTACTCCACTGTATCGTCCTCTGGTATCCATAATTCGCTTAACTTGGTCAGGAGTCAAGTGCTCGTTGTGGGCATTCTGTGGTCCCTAGAAGAGAGTATCTCTGAAAGGACCAAAAATGATCTAGGAATTGTAGTACCTGGTTCTCTTCACGGATTCCTGCAGGCTCATGAACCTTTCGAAAATCCGCATCGTTGAAATTGAAGGTGCTTGAAGGTAAGTGTCTTGCGGGCAAAAAAAATTAAAAAAGCAAAATAGAAAACGAAAATAAAAAAAACACTTCAAGGAATGCATCAGATAGTAAGCGGGGCATAAACCCTCGGGAAACAATGGCAATAGTTCGAAGGAGCTCCGATTTTATACTTGAGAATATGTACACAGTAGAACACACATCGTCATCACTGTACCAATCGATTACACACGAGAAGAAAATCGATAAAATCGATAGTGCTCTTAGCGGATTCTAAGATACAAATTTCTTCGTGCGAACAATTGTCAGAATAATGACAAAGAAATGTGCAATACAGAGATGGCGAGAAGCGTTACAAACCCAGAAGATCGTACCTATGAAAAGAGCCGTGGTAGGTCATATTATACAGTATGTACGAGGGGAGTGGGAAGGGGATGGGAGGGGGAAGGGGGGCAAAAAAACACATGTTGCTCATAGCGCCCACCAACGCCGGTGTCTGGACAGCGTAAATTTGCTGCTGGGCGCCATGTTCAAGCATGTCCGGCCGCATTTTTTGCCCCTCCTGTGAAGAATTTCAAGATGTAAAGATTATTAAAGTAGAGACAGCTTTGTACCAGTTACGTGAACCAGTTCTTAGAAACAGGTGACAACAGATCACTTTTGTGTCACGACGACTCCAGCCTCACGATCGCGGAAAACTCTCTTGACATTATTGTAGTGGGAAAGGTAGAACAGAGCGAAAAACCACGCCACACCAGCAGATATGAAGAGAATTCGCATACGATCGTGCATACGATTAAGCGTTCCAGTTCTGAAATATTGCCCAGAACATTAGCTCGTCTTCGGATTGCAGTGGCAAGTGGCGCCACCATTCTATCCAATGGACTTCATCTGAGAGGAGTCGCATTTGAATGGCTGGGGAGGTAGGGGGATTTAGTCTAAGGAAAAGGGTTCAAAAAAGGATATTCGGAGGAAAAACGTTAGCGATTTCAACTGTTAAGGAGTTTTCCTTGAACGAACTCTACTGATAATTCACCCAGATTTTCTACTGTTTTGAGGCCGTAAACACCCATGACCGACCTTTTTCTCGGTTTTCTTGTTTATCCAGGGCTGATGGGACACGGCTTCTAGGCTTTAGTGATGGTTGTACGAAGGCAGCAATAGAGGGAGTTGCAGTAAACGAATGTTTTTATCGCTTTAATGGGTCCCAATCATTTTGTGACAGGGTTCACCTAAGCCCTGAATTGAACCCCGCCCGAGCTAACCGGTTTTTACATTTCTCCATGTAATCATTGAACAGAAACAAGAGTAGAAATGCTGTCTTCTTCATCAGCTTGTCAGAAGATGGTACAGACGTGAAACCCATTCGAAGAGGCAGAGGTGAAGTAGCTGCAAGTGACATGTTAACCTCTCACGCAATCCGGAGCTCAAGTCCCGGATCGGCTCCCGCTTAGGCCAGCCAAGCCGTCTACCCTTCGGGGACGATGAACTGGTAAAGATTCCCTAACAAGTCATATTTCTATCCTACAAATCAAACTCAATTTGAATCTATTCAATTTGTGGCGCATCCTACGAGTGCTTGGAATAAATAAAGAGAGCTCTGTGGGCTTCTATCACTATCGGGACTATTTAATTTCTCAGAGCTGACTGCATATTGCACCTAGAGAGCACCTAGGAAATAAACGACCCTATTCATGTGAATATGGAGGTGAAATGACCTTTTTGAGCCCCGAATTTCTGTGGGCGTCACCAGTCACTGTTTTATTCTCTCACGAATTAGAGCAGTAGGTTAACTGGTGTCGAATGAGGGACTCATGTTGCGGTGGTGGAAGGAAAACTGCCTTAAAAGTGGCGTCATGTGCGCAGAATCAGCACCAGCACCATCAACATAGCGACCCTGATCTCCTTGCCAATACCTGTGAATCAAGTAATAAAATTTCTCACGTTACATAATCCGGAATTTCGCTTGTATTCCGATACACTCTTGTGATAAGGAGACACATTTTCTGCCATGCCGTTGGGATCTCTCCGAAGTCTGAAACGTAAGTGATGAGGGATTCCTCTAAATCGTCAGCTCTGCTATCTGTATCCCACGGTGAGAGGGGTCGTAATTGCGGACCCAGTGTCGCTCGTTTCGGCGATCGAGGACTCTTGCTTCTCCTTGGTGTCATTGGACTACCTCATGCTTCAGTTTTTTTTTACTTGAGTGTCATTAGGTTTCAATGTAAATAGCGTATCATTTCGTTGGCAGAAACTACCAGTTTTCCAAGACCACTGTTACGCGGTTCGCTAAGTAGGCAGTTACGACAAATATCTCTTGGATACAGAGTGTATGTAGGCGCAAATTATGACCCACTTTCGCGGCTCGAAACTGCTTATTGAGAGCGCAAGAGCTCTGCCACGCTTTGGTGTCTCCGCCCCACCTTTATGCTCTCCACATATATCATACAGTTCCATCATCGCTTTATGGTGGCCTCCATAATTTGACTATTCTCTCGCCAAATCATCGCCTGATTAGCTTTTCTCAGCTCAGTCTCGCTTCACAGTATGTTCTTCAACAGGTATCTTATTCAGGGACCTTTCAACATTTTTTCTGCTTTCCTCGACTAGTGAGTTAGACAGCTCCCTGATATTTGCCTTCAAGTCCCATTACCCACCAATAGCACCCTTCAGCTCTGTTTTCTGAACTCTAATCCTGAATATACTCTCACTCCTCATCTTGTCCTGTCCCGCCATGGACAGGAAGAATCTCCATGCCCGCAATTATTGGTGAAAGGTGCCTTCTTTTTGAAGTATGGGGCTACTGTTGAAGGGCATAAAGGGATCTTCCCAAATCTGTGTTCAGACTTCCCAAATCTGTGTTCGGCTGTTTTCGCGCCCAACTCCTCGTCCTTACCATTATGGTCTCACCCTTCCGACTTCCTTCAACTTTCCCTTGATGGGTAAATAATGTGAAAGACGTAAAAAAACGCACGAGCATCAGCGCCACGGAATCTCTGCGATTTCATGTGCTCATCGAACGAAGCCTTGGTGACGTAGCCATTCATTCCATTGTCATGTGAAAGCGGCTAAATAGAAAATTATAATTGCAAAATGCTCGATATTGGAGAAAGAAAATACAAACTAGATTGAAAGAAATCAATTCTCAACAGCCAGCGCCTTTTCTCAGGAGTGGTCTAGACTCTTTGAGATTTAAGGACACAGTCTATGTTGGTGGAGTGGGTGGAGTCAGACCCACCAATCAGACTTCTTCATCCGAACGATTCTTGCTACCGTTTTATCAGGGGTGTGTAAAGAGAAACAGAAACACAGCAATAGCACTGACTTGATACGAGTACCGTGGACTCTGCCCTTTCGCCAGTGAGTGGCCAAGAAAGCCCGTGCTACCCCGTACT